AGCCTAGGCTAGGTCTGACCAGGTGTTTGCTAATTTCTGACCATCCTCCATGTCAAGTTTGACTAATTTGCAGGCGTGAGACTTGTTTTAAAACTTCTTCCCAAGGGCGGGGGTGTCCAGGGAATTCCCCCACCCCCCGAATGTTTTTCCCTAGATACCCAGAAATGCATTTTATTACAACTGGAAATCTGTTAGGAATCACATTTTTTCTTGAGAATGCATATTTCTGCCATCCACGATCGGAAATAGAAAGGGAAAACAACATAACCCTACTGTAGTGTAGTGCACCATTTATTTGTGTTTGAATATGTAAGAACAAAACCAATCCTACTTTAAGTACATTAGGTGATGAATATTTAGAGAAAGAGCTATACATATATTTTTTATTGTAGGCAATCACATACGCATGCGTGAGATTTTGGACCTTGAGCTTGAGAGTGTGAGACAGATCTCGAATGTGCGAGTCTCACGCCGAATACATGAGCTTTGACGTGTATGATCCTCATATGTTTCAGATGTTATTTTTAGTAGGACTAAGAGTAGGCCTAGGATGTAATTAAAACATTAATTTTGTATTTGTTCTCTTGCATTTTTCTACAGGAAGCCTCCACCATGCCCTTCATTATTACGACACTCTTCACATAGACAATGTCAAACATCACATTGTTAAAAGAGATCTAGATGAGGATGATCAACATGTACGATACATCAGTTTTACAACTTTGGGAAGGTAAAATAATAATAAAAATAAAATTGAAATATTTTCTTTATTTTTGTATTTAATGTATTGGTACATTGGAATCAACAGTGCTAGGCAAGCAAGGTATGCAGTGCATATCCTGCTAAAACTAAAAAACAATACAGAATTTCTTCTCCATTTTTTTCTCCATTTTATTTAACATTTTTTAGGCACAATCTTCTATGCCACCCATAATTTTTCGAGTAGATTGCTACAGTTGATTAGAATAGCTAAGTTAATATTGTAATTTTTGGCTGGTATCTAGGATAACCTAAACTACTCAAGCCTATCGCATCGTCCTCTCGTCTGTTTAGAATTTCCGCATGGCTGGTTTTCAATATCAGCCTATCGCGTATTCAGTGAGGCTGTGGAAGTGAGTGCATACCCTACAATGGTAAAATGTCCTATTCTGCCTACCGCATGGTGGCGTTAGAATAGCAAATTTAACACTGGAGTCAAAGCGCTGCCCCCCATGCCTCCAATAGTATGTGCGCATGCTCCTTTTCTCATTGCTTACTTTTCTACAGTAGCTATAATCGGGACTTCCGCTACCAGTCAGGTTATTTGTATTACCAGACATTCTGTAATCTCAATGATTAAAGTTAAAATTTATTAATTTGCATACATATGACCAGTATAGAAGAAACTTCAATTATTTATTTGTTAAATGTACAGGAATAGGCATTCTTTTGAAGAGAGGAAACCGTGCTTCCATCAAATCATATTACAGTTTTAATCAATATAGTAATAATTTTAAAATATGTGAGATGAAAGGTATAATTTGTTTGTAATTAACAAAACATTTCTTATTTTTAAGGAAATTTGATCTAGAACTGAGACCGTCTGAGACAGTTTTATCGTCAACTTTCAAAGCATATGCAGTTGATGAACATGGTAAAAAAGAGGAATATGAATTTGATAGAGATAATGTCCTCTCTGGTCATCTAACAGGTGAAACACTTTCTATTCTTTCAGCATCATTAAAACTATTTATCATCTTTTCATCTCCATATTGTTTTATTTACCATTTACAGCCTGTAATTGTATGATAATCCATTTGGAGAAGTTTACTGTAGCAACTGAATTGGGTTTGAATCCTGTTGGCAAATTTTAAAAATACTTAGCATTCAATATATGTTGTCTTAGACCACAGGTGGACAAAGTGCGGCCCACGGGCCTCATGCGGCCCGACAGCGATTTTTTTTGCACCCCCGCGAATATGAAATAATAACCCTATGTTTGCGGCTCGCCAAGGAACATTGACTAGAAAACACCTTGTTTTTTACGGCCTCACACCGATCATATGTAAAAAGTAATATTAAAACTGGAGATAAGGTGGTGTAAATGCAGTACTTGGAGGTTTTTGGAAGCGCACTGGAAAGATCACAGTTTGGTGCAGCCCTCAGTCTTAAATCAGAAATTCACTTTGGCCCTCTGACCGATTTTTATGCCCACCCCTGTCTTAGACAATACCAGCCATACCAAGCCTTCCCCTCCCTCTCCCTTCCTATATTGTGCCTTATCCCCACTGAAATTTGTTGAGCAAGTACAACGTATATTAATGAATGTAAGTTACATTCAGTTAGTGATAATCAGCTCACATCACCTAGTTTTGCACTTTAGAAGTCTAACATTATCATTATTTATTACTATTTTTACTCCTCCTGTATAGTCCCCCACATGGTCTTCATACCTCCCCAACCATCCATCTGTAGATGTGCCACTGTGTAATTATTATTATTACATTCTATTTGTCCACCTTTCCAACAAGACAAAACAAAACATTTTGTCCACCTTTCCAACAAAACGTTTGCTTCAGTAATTTGTTATTTATGTACTCTACAGATGATTTTGATTCACATGTTCAATGCCATATTGAAGATGATAACACGCTAAATGCAAAGATTGTGACACAAGAAGAAACATATATTATAGAGGTACAGTATATTCAGTGTTTATATTATCTACAAATAGCAATAATACACGAGAAATGTGATTATTCTTCTAATCCTGTATTCCTGTTGAAACGTCAATAAGTAGAGTACTATGTTAATAAAATAAGACAAAAATATTTAGTTTTAGCTGCAAAGGTCACTCTATTCAAAGAATTTTTAATTTTATTCAAACAAAGATTAGGTTAGTCAGTGCCTGTATGACTGCAATGCAAAGAGCTTATTTGTGAATAATTTTTGTGTGGTTATAATTTAAGTATTATTAATCATATGCAGTAGCCATCATCTGTATGTACACTTTGATGCAAGCATAGTACTATATGTACTTTAGTTTAGATTTACAGTGGAAAGGAAGAGACTCCAAGGTCTTGAAAATTGCATGTTTGCCAACAATTCTAGAAGCAATTACCTTTCTTGATGAGTCAGTAATGTTGACGGTTCCTCTGAATTTTTCTATATTCTTAATGAGTCATAATTCTACAGGAAGCCTGTGGGACTGGCTCAAACGTGACACTTTTCCTGTGATTACGTGTTCCAGCTCAACGAGACTTTTTTTATACCTTGTTCAACGAACCCGCCAAATGCAAATATTAATGATTTCAAATAAAAATAAAATAATTTTTTTGGCCAATTAGCTCACCTGCCGCCACGATAAAAATAGAAATTTCAGAAAAAAATTAACATTTAAAAAAATTTTATTATGCTCACTGCTGCCTTGAAATCTCCAAAGATAAGATATGTATGTTTCTTCCTAATTATAGAAATTTGAATCATCTAACCATCCCATTTTAAATTCACCAATAAAATTTTATTTTTATATTCTCCTCCATCTGGATGTTTTTTGCAAAACTATTTGCTAAATAAGAAAACAAAATTTTATTTTTATTTTTATTCCATTCCAAAAAGTACACATTACAATTGTTTGGGTCGTGCATTGCACACATATTTTACCCTTGTTTGAAAGAGTTTCAGACAATAATGGCATCCATATTGCCGCAGTGAGTTAGCTTGATGTGCCCTCTACTTTAGCATTACAGTATATACAACACTATATTGTGCTTGAATTATCAATACATGTACAGAGAGCCCTCCTTTTGGAAAGATGCTTTTAAATAATAAATTGTTATTTTCCTTACATAGCCTTCATGGAGGCATCTAACAGATACAGTCAATGGTACAATGATTTCATACAGAAAATCTGACAGAAAATCAAATGATACGTAAGTATATCATCAAAAGAAATATTTTCTCTATGTAAAGTAGTATAATTTCGTTTTTCTGTTTTCCGTTTAATACAAATTGAAATTAATTAATGAACCTGTAATTTTCTTTGCTTATAAATTGTGGTGGAATTAAATTTATTTTGATTCAAATGCTGATTTTAAAATGTCTCCTGCATGATTATAGGCATACGTATTGCGGACATGGTAGCCATCTCCCCAAAGGCTTGAAATATGATCGAGATTTGGAAGAAGAGGAGCACCACCATTACACCAAGCAGTACCAAGGTATGAAAGGCAAAACCATAGTTAAATATGTTTTACTTTTTAATCTGAAAACTGTTGTACCTAGGGCCGCAAGGGAGACTAGACTATTTGACTGATTGTGCCACCTGGTTAAGAATAGTGAATAAATAAATGAACAAATAAATAAAAATCCAAAAAACCCCATACTCTAGAATGTTTTTAGAATTATGTCTACAGAAATTGAATTAAAAACAAAGAAAAATTTATAATCTTATTCATTCATTATAAATTTCATAAAAATAATATTTATATTGTTTGTGTGCATGTATGTGAACTAATTTTTAATGATAGTTCATGATATTGCACAATTAATAATTTGATAATATAATTCGAAATTACATTTTTCTTTTTCATATATTGAAATCTACAAAAACATCAACAAATTCTCCTTTGTTTGAAGGCTATACAATTTATATTTTATTCGTACCATAGTAACAGAATCTGCATAGACCATTCACACAAACCGATGATGACATCATGATTTTATATAATATAAATATGGGAATTGTAAATTTCTGCTAATTGTTAAATGCTTTGTGATCACTTCCTTTTTACAGAATCGGATGGACATGGAAGACAGAGAAGGTCTCTTCGTCCACCTCCAAAACACGTCTGTCCCTTGCTTCTAACAGCTGATAGCCTCTTTTATGTGAATATGGGTCAAAGTAGTATGTCACAAACTATCAATTATCTTGTAAGGACATTACTTTAATTGTCTTGTGGTTTTTTTTTAGGAATGTTTTTTGTTTTCTTGCATTCATTCAATAATTCAATAATTACAGGATGCAATTGGTGGTCTATTTGTATTGTGATGTTTCTGAAAGGCCAAATTTGGAATAAAAGAATGATGAAATTTAATTTCGTAGTTTTAATTTAATTGTAGACTTTCTTTCCAGTTGATCACTGTGAAAGCACCTCCTTTAATAACCTGTAAACTTAATTTTAAATCATTTCTTTCTTTAACAATCTATAAATAAAATTTTATTTTGAAATTGAATTATAACTTCCCTTTCCTGTTTTGTAATTTTCCATTCTTTATTTGCCTATTATCTTTTGTTTCCTTTATTTAGCATCCTTCCTTTATCTGTTGAATAGTCACAGCTAACGTGACCAACATGTTTAACATGGCCATCTTAAAAATATTTTTGTATTATAAATATATATACCGTCTCTGTTACAGATTTCGCTTGTGGACCGAGTCAATTTGATCTACAAAAGAACAAACTGGGATGGTAAAAGCTACGGTGGATTTTACTTTGAAGTTGCAGAGGTAAAAAGTTTATTAAAAATTAAATAGAAAGAAAGCAGAATCATTACGAAGTAACTAAAGCTAGTCACTCATTGGGCCCAAATTGATTCTATGGAGAATGCAACGCCACAACACGCACCCAACAGATGGTGGTTGTGGGGGTAAGGGTCTGAGGGTCCTCCTTTGTTGAAGTTTATGCCTGGTTTACATGGTTTGAAATCATTTATTATTATTCCAATACATTGATGCACCCACACCTATCTAATACAGCATTTGTGAGACCGACATTCAGCAGACAGTGTCGCGTTGTTTAACGTTCACATGGAGTGGAGTTGGATTCGTGGTACAGCCGTCTTACGACACAGTGCCGGCTTAAAACACAAACATGAGCAACAACTTATCTATGGTAGTTGCAAGACCAATGTTATTTTATATGTTATGATGTTTTTTTTTCTGTATTTATTGACAGGTTACTGTTCATAAAACACAGATAATGGGGAACCATTACAATACAAAACCACCTATTGGTGATGTTTGGGAAGTGCAAGATCTCTTAGAGGTAATGTTGCCAAATTAATCACACTTTATGGTTCATCAGATAGGCCCTAGCATATGTTAAGTACTTTTAAAAAGAAATTGTTGTTCTTAAGTTAAAATATTGTGACACTAATTGTTGACTACCCTATTGCTTCAGTCTGGTGTCAGTCAGTAAGTTGCCACTAATTTAATGTACATATGTACCCAGTACAATTACATACCACTAAAGAATTAAGTTTTAACTCCTAGAATTGATCAACTTATTGCAGTGGCTTTTCTCAAACTAATGCTGCGTTCATTAGAACTTGTGAAAACTGATTTCACAACTTGTAACATGCGAGAACTTGAGAAGAGTGCATTTATTTGACGAAAGCTAAAATGGCTTTTTTTTCTCCTATTCAGGATTTTGACAAGCGCCCTCACACGGATGTGCTCCTTGGCCTAGGCCTAGCCTATATAAAAAAAGCTTGAATTAGGACTTTGTAAAGTGCATTCAGAAAGTTATAGTGCAAATCATAAGGTTGCAAATAAAACATACAAAAAACACTTTTTTATCTGAAAAAATATTACTTAAACAAATTGCAATGAATGCATCTGCTCATTTGTGTTACATCTGCCATTTTCCACACTACTTGTGCTGATTGAGGAAGAAAATTCTGCTCGAGTTCACCGACCAGATGAACGCGTTTCACAAGTTGTGAACTGGGAAACACTGACTACTCAAGTTCTAATGAACGCAGCATTATTATAACACACCTAAATACAGTAGATCGCTGTCATTAGATTGGTGGATTTCATATGGTTATTTATTTCCATCCGTGCATTTTCTTTCCATCCATTTTTTCCCATTGCACGTTGCCCAGGTTACGATATGACTTCAACTGAATACAACCTTTTGATGGTTAAAGAGACTCTGTACTGTTCTATTTAGAAAAAGGGTAGATATAAAATATAAAATAACAAGAATCTCCATTCAGGAAAAAAAGGTAGATTTTAAAAATAAAATGTCAAATGACAAGAATCTATTTTAGGTGTGCTATAAAATACAAATAATGAATGTTTTTTATTCGCGTTAGAAAGAATATTTTCATTCATTGAAAGATTGACTGTTCCATTCAACTCCAGTCAATCTTTCAACTCATGAAAATATTCTTTCCATTGCACTCATAAACATTCATTATTTGTATACTAACCAATCAGAATATGTTATTTAATATCCAGGAATATGCACATGTCCAACAAACATGCAAGTTTATTTTTAGTTACCATATCTTCGTATCAGTGGCGTAATAGCTATGAGCTGTCACTGGCTGAAGCCAGGGGCCTCTAGGCTTGATAGGGCCCCACTGGGATATTTTTATCAGCATTTTTTTCCTCATTACATTGTCAAGCGGGTCCTTTTTGTTTTTAAAGAGCATTGACATGTTAAAAGAAAAGCATCAAATACTTCTTTAAAATGTGAAATACCCCGAAGTGGGCGGGACATTTCCCACAGGGTAGGACGCCAAAGAAGCCTTAGCTATGGGCTTCAGACCTCATTATACGCCACTGCTTAGTATAATGGCTTTGTAGAAAGATCTGTTAAAAAGTTATTGTAATTACTGTTGTATTTTCAGATGTATAGCAAACAAAATCACATGAAATTCTGCTTAGCTCACCTGTTCACTTACCAAGATTTCTCAAGTGGGGTGTTAGGTTTAGCATATATTGGAACTCAAAGAACCAATGCTGTTGGTGGTATATGTACACAATGTAAGTAGAACAATTGGTTGTGTTCAAGACCATTGTGAAAGAATTATTGATGTTGTAAGTCAGGTGTGTCATCATTTTCATTGCATATAATTTTCCTATCCCCAAACAGGCACTAACTCGATATGGTGCCTGCTATTTGTTGTGTCTTGTGTGCAAAAACCTCAAATCTTGGGTTGTTTTCCATTCTAATGAAAATGTTATTGCTTAGCCAATCTCTGAATGCAAATAGGGAACCTAAGAAATATCGGTCTATGGCGCCTAGGGCCTAGACTACCCAGGCTAAATCTAGAAAGGCATATGGTTATGAGATACAAGGCTTTTAATATAAATGGACTGAAAAGAGAAGGCAACACTAATATAATTCATAATAATGTTTACAATACATTTTAATCTATTTAACTAATGTCTACCAGGAGCTTAGGCCTACTTACTGTAATAACACCTAATACTGTAAACTTGATCAACCACAAACACTCATCTTCATCATATCGCAAAGAGCTGCGAAGAGTGTCGGTGGGAGTACTACTAGCAGATCATTCTCATACACGCAGCTAATGCACACGTACAGTTAATGTTTTGATAACTGAGCAATCGGTCAGTGTAACCAGCAGTTAGTTTATAAATCAGTAGAAAGCATTATATAAATCCTCAAAACTATTATTATGGTTGAATCTATATTGGTACTGGAATAGGCATTTATAATACACCTCTTCTTTAAGGTAAAGCACAGTTCTTTTCTCTGGTCATTGGGTCCATATGCTTTAAGTGCTGCTATTGGTAATCAGTGCAGGAGCAGGCAACCCATTCAGGTACCCATTTATACTCCTGGGTGGAGAGAAGCAATGCAGATAAAGTACCTTGCTCAGACACAAGCGAAATGCATAGCGAGGAATTGAAACCCCGACCTCGAGGTTGGGAAAGCAAACCGTTCCCACTGTGCCAAAGCGCTCCCAATTATGATAAAGTATAAATTATTATTTGGAGTCAGTAAGTATACAATTTAAATGATTTCCTTATTTTTCTTTAGCTTATCCATCTAATGGTGGTGACTTATACCTTAACACTGGATTGACAACGACCCTCAATTGGGGGCGCCGGGTACTCACGGATGAAGCTGAACTTGTCACAGCACATGGTAAATAATTAAGTGTTATGTCATATGTTGCTTGATAGAACCATTGAGACAATGTTCCTTTTAGAATAATTAATTCTGTTCAAATATTTACCAGCGGCAAGGAGATTATGTACTGTATTCACTGCCGTTTGTCTGCTGTGCTGTCTGTTTGCCTGCCTGTTTAGCAAAGATTACACAAAATTTAATGAATTGATGATCATAATATTTAGTGGAATGGTACATAAAGAAAGCCACCGTTCACTTTTTGGAAGAACAGGTCAAAGGTCAAGGTCACAGAAATTCAATTTTCTTTTATTCTCGAGCATAAACGAAAATAATGTAATCACCCCTTGTATTAGGGGAACTCAAGAAAAAGCTGTGTCTGAATACAGCAGGGGATTCCATTATTTTCTTGAGGGTATCCTGCAGCTCTCAAGAAAATAATTTGCCTGAATAAGTCTGACGATTCCATTATTTCATTGAGGATATGCTGCAGTTTCACCCATCATACACAGAATTTTTGGTACTGTATTCAGGCAAAGGGTGAAGGTATGCACTCTATAGATTGACTGCTCTAGTTTATGGTTGTTTTTACTTTGTTTCCCAGATGAAATATATACATTTGTATAAATATATGACATAAATTATTAGTTATTATCATAAATGAATTTGCACACAACAAACAGTGAACTCTTATGTGTTTGGTATTATGTACATTCTTTTATATATGTATTTCTAATTCAGAATTAGGACATAATTTTGGAAGTGAGCATGATCCAACAACCAACATCAATGGTTGTGCCCCAGATGATCCTAATGGCAACTTCTTAATGTATCCAGCCTCAGTAAGTGGCAAGAAACCAAACCATGATGTGAGTAATACAGTAATATCTTCCTAAGGTGCAAATTCATTGAACAACAATACATTTTAATCTATTTAACTAATGTCTACCAGGAGCTTAGGCCTACTTTTACTATAATAACACCTAATAATAATACTGTAAACTTGATCAACCACAAACACTCACCTTCATCATATCGCAAAGAGCTGCGAAGGATGTCAGTGGGCGTACTACTAGCAGATCGTTCTCATACGCGCAGCTAATGCACACGTACAGTTAATGTTTTGATGTATCCAGCCTCAGTAAGTGGCAAGAAACCAAACCATGATGTGAGTAATACAGTAATATCTTCCTAAGGTGCAAATTCATTGAAAAAATGTTCGAATGTACATTACTATTGTAATATGAAGAGACAGAACTCACGTCTAACTATATATGGCAAAGACAAGCCAAACCAATCACTCGTGGCAAAAATCAATGTTTAGTTATTAATACATGTTTAAAAAGTAAAATGAGAATTATAAAATGGTAAAAGAATCATTTAAATCCGACATTTCAGTATAAAGTTACAGGAGTTTGAACATAGTTTAAAAAACAATATTTGAAAAATCGGCCTTCAAAGTTTATGATTTTGGGCATTTATCAGGCAGAAACCATCACCAAGTCGTTAAAATTTGTAGTTTTAACATTGAAAATGGGGAAAATAACAGCAGAGCATGATATATAGATATATAATGGTTAGTTTAGTGCAATAAAATACTGTAGGTTTCAACAATTTTGACATTCCAGGATGTTTTGGCCATTATCTCTGAAACAGGATTTGCGACGATCATGACTGGTTTGGCTTGTCTTTGCCACATACAGTATGAGTTCTGTCTTTCTTTATATTGTTCTAAAGCAGACTTATAGCGCCTACACCTTTTACTCATCATGAATACAATTATAATATAGAGTATGACATAAGTGACGTCACTGCACAAGTGGCACCCCATCATTACTAAGCAGTCCTACTCAAGCAGTCGATACACCTGAGTGGCCTTCAGTGAGCTACAGTTTTTTTTTTACAACATTGCACCTTTATTTGTGCCTTGTAAACTTATATTGAAAACTTTATATCTGATAACCAATAAATGGTTAGTTTTCGTGTTATGTTTTTAATCAGAAATTACTACTTGATACATCAGTTTGAAAAAAACTATGAAAACTATTGCTTAGCTAGCTGCAGAGGCAAATCAGCCACTTCAGTAGCCTGACTCTCAGCTTTAACACATTACTTATTCCCAAAAATCTATCCATTCTGAAACACAATTGTACATTATTCAATAGAAAGTTATTTATTAAGTATCTTTTTTTTTTTCCAGCGATTTTCTCCTTGTAGCAAACGTATGATCCAGCAAGTTTTAAAAGCTAAGTCTTCTCGCTGCTTTAGAGGTAATTTCTTTATTGGTTTCTTTCAATTCATTTACATTCAATAGTGATTTACCTCAGAGGCTTTACGTACACAACCGCAATTTACATGCGTTGATGCAAAACTTTTTTTTTTGACTTTATAATAAAGATAATAATAATACATAAGATGATGACCATGATAATGACAATATTCATATTGATATAAATAAGAATATTATCTATTTCTTTACAATTTGCAGTTGTCTGTGGCATCTATCGAGTGAATAAAGTAATAGTGATAATTTTAATAGTGATATAAATAATATTGTTTGAAGGTTTGCATGGCGAAGTAATAATATATAAGTCAATCGTGACGTCATCACTGTAACTCCCAGTGTTATTTGCCTATCCCCCACAGTCCAGTAATTTTTCAAATAGTGGACGCTTGGCTTGATTTTTTTTAGGTTCGTGTGCAAAAAAATCCTCATTTTTTCGTCACCGCAAAGATATTGTAATTGAAATTTACTTTTGTATAACATGCTTAATTAGAACCCAAAGAAAGTTACTTCAAATTCAATATTAAGTATGAACAATCAAGGAATTCATTGAATCAATAGACCCTCATAAACAAAATAAACTGAACATTTAATAGGAATATTCTAGACCTATTTTAAAGACTCAAGAAACATAATTTTTCTAGGCCGAGGCCTACTCCTCCTAGTCCTACTAGACCTTGGCCTAGCCTAGTTTTGAAATCATCGCACGATTTTTTGCTGTCTGCATGCATCAGCCAAAAAGTTCAGTTACTGTATTCTCTCTCGAATGCAGAAATGTTTATTTCTTTGACGAATATCTATCAAAATAGCATTACAAACAAGTTCTTTCTTAAACAATCGTAACCAAACTGTACGGACATGTAGTTAACACGTATTGCAGGAGCACAAATCAGCATACGCACAGCTAAATGCACACAGTATACTGATCATATCACTATAGCAGTTGGTTATCAAAAACTAAAATTAAAAGATGGCGATTGACTTATAAAGCAATTATTAGAGCATGCATCGTACACAATGGAAAATTATTATACTTAGGTTAGATTTAATGCATTCAAAAATTTTTTCAAGCATTAAATTTAACCTTTGTATAATAATTTTTCTATAGTGTACTATGCGGAGCTCTACTAATTGCTTATTAATGCTTGCGGTACACCGTTCTGTGGCACTGTATTGGTTTTCTAGCCACGCCCCGCCCTTGTGTATCTTTTCACACGTAGTCTCAGCTGTTGTTTAATTTTCAACCAGTCACTAGCAAGTCTCACCAACCGGCACCGTTCTGCTTGCGGTACACTGTTCTGGGCCACTGTATTGACTTTGTAGCCATGCCACACCCTTTTTGCAGACTGTGGAATTTTGGCTTTTGTATTAGGCTTCTTTAATAAACATAATCTCAGCTATTGTTTAAATTTAAACCAATCACCAGTCTTACCACACAAAACATATAAGTATTTCACTGTTTTGTGATTTCTGCAGATATTATTCTCCTGAAGACTATTGAAGCAACTCAATCGAAACATTGAGATATTCTCAACCAACAACAAGAGTTGTTTTCAGAACTATCTACGTGGTGTACCGCAAGCATTAATATATGTGATAAAAATACTAATAATCATATTATCCACTCTACCAATTAGAACCACAAGGTACAAATGTCTGTGGCAACTATCGAATTGATAAAAATGAACAGTGCGATGCCGGGTTACTTGCCCAAGGAGAAAGTGACCCGTGTTGTCATTTAAAATGTAAACTGAAACCAGGAAAGAAATGCAGGCGAGTGTAAAATTACTTCTTTTTTTTTTTAGTTATTTTATTTTTTTTTTTAATTATTGCAAAATGTTTGCTTTATTTATTTGTTGTTTTTA